ATATGTGAGTGGGTGGGTGCTGGAATAAAAAAGCTACTGTTACTTGCTGGTAGAACAACATATCAACAACTGTTGGAGCTGACTTGAAGGTTAAATATTAGGAAGGAATCCAATTTCTCTTGTCTATTCAGCTCAGCGGTGTGTTAGATTGCGGTTGGAGTGTGCTTATGGAGTGTGGGATATGAAGTAGGCTAATCAATCCCTGCTGCTTCATTCTCAGGTTCTTCTTATATCAGGTCCCTGCCCTCAGGCAGCCTTCAGCTTTCCAAAAGCCAATTCCATACAAATAAAAATTGCGACCTGCAGCTAGAGGGTGAAGCTGAGTTTCCCCCTCGTGATTAATCTCTTCTTGGGTGGCTTTCCGGAAAAAAAAAAGAAGGAGAAAAAAGGAAAGGAAAAAAAAAAGGAAAGAGAAAAACCATGCGTGCTGAAGCCCTGTGAAAGAGTTTTCCTATTGAATGAGCCCAGTGCTCTGGAGCCAGCTTATCAAATGAAAGAATTCATTTTTTTTTAACAGTGCCTCGTGTTGACATTGAGAAAATGAGCTATCAAACGCTATGATTAAACTTCAGCTGCCATAATTGTCGTCCGAACAACTACATGGTGGAACTGAAAAGCATTTTTTTTTAACCAGCTCTATATGGTTCACCAGTAATACTCAGTTTAAAAGGTTGTTGCTGCTAGCAAGAGAAACAAGGCTTGAAATTAACTTTTTCCAATCCATAGACAAAATTAAACATAGGTCTTTGAGTCATACAAACAACAGGTAAATCAGATGTGCTTTAAATTTCAGTTTAGTCATTTTATCTGCTGAGAGGTAGCTCCAGGGTATTAAAATATCTGAGCATTTTCTTGTTTCACTGCATTTCACTGGATGGGTCCTGTTTTTTATTTTGAGAGAGACAGACAGATAGATAAAAAGAAGTGCAAGGAAGGGTGGCTTAAATACTCACCTTGGTGCAAGTGGGGGTAGAGGGAGGTAGCATTTTCCCTGCAACTAAAATTAAACATTTGATATAAGCAAGGCACAATTTAAAACACAATTGCCACACTTCAGGCAATTATTGTTTAGTCTTGTTTCTTGCCTGGACTAGTGCATTTAGGCAATTAAGGCTTACAAGGATACCAAGCATCTTATATTACTAAGTATTGTATATTAATTCTCATCAAACTTTTTGCATACATCCTCAGGAGACTGTGGGTCATCAAGGAGGCTGAAGAATTCCTTCAGGGAGGGTGGCTAAAGGCATGATATTTCAGGCAGGTGACATGCCCAGTGACAGCAGCCCTCTGGCCAAACGTAATACTTTGGGAAATAAGCTGTTACACAACTAAATCTCTGTTTAAGATTGTTAAAAAATATTCCAGATGCTACAGGACAGACAACACTGCAGTGAATATGAAGGAAATATGGGGAATAACTGAGGGCCAGGTAAGGAGAATATGTATATAGTTTAAATTGGAATATTTCCTTGCCACTTTCCTGAGCTTGCTTGGAATGAGCCTCTGCCCTCTTTCCAGAAGGGAGGCTGCACAAGAAGGGGAATTCTGCTGCAGCAGGGTCACAGGGCTGTGAATCACGCTGCGGATGAGGCTGTGCGCATTTGCTCTGGCTGAGGGTCTGGTCTTTGCCTGAAAGGGAGAGCTTTCCCTAGCTAGTCCTCGGGCCCTGTAAGCAGCCCTACCCACCACTAGGTGTCTATCCCCAGCCCCGATGGCGCTGCACCACCCCACCGAAACACCTCCCTCGCAAGTTCGCATCTCTTTTGTCAGCCCTTCCACCAAATTAGCATCGTATTATTTTTTGAACCTAAATGCTTTTTTTTCTTCTCTGTTTCCACCGTACTCTACCTACTCAAGCAGGTGTTTTTGCAAAGTCAATTACATAACCTGAGCATCGTTCTGTTCCCTGAACATATGGGAATGACATTTTGAAATAACAATAACATTTTCATCACTTTTAGAATCTCTCAGCTTTACTTTACCCCTTTCCAAGAATAAAGCTGATAATGTCTAGGGCTTGATCAGGATTCTCAGGGGTTGAGGCTATTGCTTGCAAACAGATTTCCGATTTCCGATTTCAGATTTCATTTGAGCCGAGCAGCTGGAGAAGCAGTGAGGTGCAAGATGACTTAGGCATGGTAAGAGTTAGGAACTGAGCTGGAGAGATAGGAACAGCTTCCAGAAAAACAGGTCTAGCAACAGATTGGATGCCGTTGATGAAAAATAACACAGGTCTGCAAGCCTAGGGAATAGTATCTACTCATTTAAAAGAAGAGAATTTGCATGTGTAAAACTAAGAAAACTCTGAAGTGACTCAGATCTGTTAGTTCCATGACACTCTCAACAGCTTATTTACAGTCTAGTTCTAAAGATTGTTCCCACCTGCTGAACTGCAAATGCTGTTATTATTGTAGGGTTGCTTATGTATGCTAAGCTTCATTCCCATGTTTGCTATTTGTAGGGTCACTCAGACATGCTGGCTGGATCATGACTATTTACAAGCATCCTGAGCTGCTGGAAATTATTCATTTATCAGAAGCAACAGCAAAGATATTTGTGTGAGAAACAAAGATATGAAAAAGGTACTCTAAGCCAAATTTTGGGCCAAGCTGCAGAGGCACTGGGCAATATATTCACTCATCGTAAGCTTTGCAATATGAGGAAGGCAAAGTTGTAATCAGTTAAGAAAACAGTCTGACATTGCAATAGTCTTAGCTTAATGAAGCCAAATAAAATGTCACAGCTTGTTCAAAAAGCTTATTTTGGAATCTCAGGATAAATAAGAGGTATAAACACACATTCTTTCAGCTAGCTTTTGGGTGAACTGCCTGATATATTTGCTGCTGTGCAGAAAGCTAAATTAGCTTTAAGAGGAGTCTTTCATAAAAGGCATTGGAATTCTCTCTTATTCCTCGTCTCCCACATTTGAAATGCTTTGATTTAAAAAATCCAGTCTATTGTTCCTGTAATAAACTTAACATTTACAAAGAGATGAGCCTAATATGGTCGCCTTTAGAAAAGGACACAATTTGGTCTTATTCTCATGAAATCTTACTGAACACCATTGCAAATGAATTCCAGGCAGTACTGGGGATGTGGGGAAACACAGAGGTATACACCTGCAGATTGTTTTCGCTCTAGGTTGTTCTTTGGTTAGAAAGAAAATGTGAAGTTGGGACTAGCTGGTGAGGAGAAAGGGAACCCCTGGCCTCTCCACACATGGAAACTGTTCCTGGAGACATCAGCCTGCCAGGCTTTTCTCTGGGTGACGGAATTGCTGGGCTTTGACTTGTACACATTGTGCTAATGCAGCAATAAAACTGTGACAAACTGACAAAAGCAGGTCAATTCACAGCTCAGGCTGACACCACTTCTTCAGCTCATGTTGGTCGATTACCAGTCAAATTTCAGGTACAGGGAAGAGGCAGCACTGAAACACATGGTGATACGGCAATCTTGGCTCACTTAGGGACCCAGGAGTTCCACCTCTCCTGTTCTGTTTTCCAGCAGTCCTCACCACTGCAAGTATGCGTGTGGTATGACTGCGTGTATGTGTGTATGACTGTGGGAGAAGCCCTGGAGACACCCACAAACCAGACATCTTATGGACACCACCACCACACCACCCCCCCCCCCCCCCCCCCCCGACATAAGCTTGAGCCTGCAGAGGAGACTTTAGGCAGATTGTGTGTGGCTGGGAATGCCAGGCTTCTGAGATGACCAGGTTGTGGAGGGTCCTGTGCTGATAGCCTCCCCAGTCACTGGTGAGACTGGGCTATTAACATATTCCCATGTCAGTGCCTGAGCATTTCTTGTATGTGGGGTTTCTTTTCTTTTCCATCCTTTCCCACATTCCCAAAGGAAGGCAACCATTCATATAACTCACTATCTCTGTTTTTAAGCTGGCATGTTCATCCACTGATCCTTCTTTTTTTTTTTCCCACTGTGTTCAAACTTTGGTTAAATTAATACTTTACAGTAAAAAAACTGAGGTAATCATATTGCTGCATGAGAATAGTTGTGACTGACAGCCTTTTTAAAAACACAAGCCCATGACTCAGTGCACACAGCACAATTTGTGAAGGGCAAAATGAAAATTGCCTGGAAAATAACTTCAAGGTAGAAAAGGAAAAAATAATGCACAGGATAAGAGCATAACAGAAGGCAAAAAACTTTCTAAACTCCCAAATATCATCTACTTTCCTGTCATAGGTGGTTCAGAGGAAAGAAGGATATTACATCCTCACATTCAGATTTAACTACATTCCTATCAGTACTTTTACCTTCTTATACAGATCTGTTGTTAGCTTCACTTTTGCCATGCTGCCTACAGAGAAATTACTTATAAAGTATTTTTTCTTCTTTTGCATTATCAGAATCAACTGCCTGTCATGGCCTTATGAGCTCTTCTTTCTCAAAACTGTAGGAGTGAGGGCCAGATTTTGGCGTTCAGCCTTGAACTGCAGAGTCCAGCCTGGGTATTGCAGGCCGAACATCACATAACCCCTTTCATAAATTTACTTTCTGGTTGGGAAGCATCTCACACACTATGGCTGCTGCTATTAAGTAATAACAAATAAATCCAAGGAGTCTTTTGGCTTTCTAAAGAAAAATATAACGGAAGTTAAACAACTGCCCTCAATTAAACAATGACTAAAACACACAGTAGCTTCCTTCAGAAAAGACCAAGGCAAAATTCAGAAAAGTAGCTTGTGTCATCCAAGGGACAAGAAATACTTGTTCCTTCCCTGAATCATACCATCAACTCAATCATCAAACCTCTTTCAAATTGAAGAGCAGTTCGGTGACGGTTGTGGGAATTAAACCTTTACATTGCTTAACCTGATTTTTATACCAGATATCTGCACTGGGAGCAACAATGGTAAGAGAAAGGGTTAACCTATTTCCCATCGAGCCTTCAGTGGTGCTTACGCTGAAGTTTCTGCCACAATACCAAGTAAAATTCATCTCACCTACGAAGAACAGAGATAATTAACACTTAAGTTGTCTTTTATCCCTTTCAGGAAAGCTGAAGCAGGTCGATTCAAGGTCCTAGCAGAGTCCAAGATACCTGGGAAGTACCTGAAATAAAATAGATGCAAAATTCTCAGGAAGGCAGTTCAGGCTGCTTGCTGCTATCATGCACTTCTGGAGCTCCAGCAGCTGGGAAGAAAATAAGTAGTCAACAGATGCATCCTTCAGGAGAAAACACAGTTATGGAGACATCAAGAGCTGGGCATACAGTTGATTTAGTGGTATTTACTCTCTGAGTTCTGGGGATGAATTGTGATTACAAATAGTCCTTTCAATCCTACTCGGCAGGTACAAATGTAAGGCTAGTCATGTTTTATCTCATAGCTGAACAGATAGCTGAAACAGAAAAAAGTTCTAAAGATAGCATATGTAATTGCAACTATACTGATTTTTATCAGAATTCTGCTTATTTACATGAATTGTTGTGTGTAGCTGTGTTTGTCCAAGTGGTTTCCATGGTCAGCAGCCTATTTAGGCCTTCATAATAATTGCAGTTGGTAGCATTGCCAATTCTTAATGCTACCTGACACTTTCAAGTGATTCCAGTTGCTCTCAATTTTACCAGATGTTACTAATTCAGGCTGGAATTGGTATCCTGGATATGTATCACTTTGTTGAAACTGTCACCAAAACCAGGTGCCCCTTCCAAGAATGAAATTAGAGAAAAATACACTGCTTTGCCTTTGTTCTATACATATATAAATACTTTTTTTCCCCCAGTGTATATTTCTGTTTGGTTTCTACTACATAATTGCAGTGTTACACACTTTCCACTACAGAAATTTCACAATCTAGCAGAAGAGGGGATGTCCCACTGTTAAGACTGTGGGCCTCACTGCCCACTGAAGAGGATCATGTATTGATCTGCTCTTTATCAATTCTCCTCACACTGGAAGGAGTTTGTGTCTTATCTTTGCAGTCAGGCTGGGTTCCTTCTCATCTGATCACTGGAGGGAAACCTAAACATGGCCAAGAGGTGGGACAAAAACATCTGGTCCAGGTTTGTTGAGGACTGTGCAATATCAGCAGGAACTGGGTGTCAGGATATGTCCCTTGGTGAATTATTCATCACCAAGGACTCACTAAGCTGTGTTAATCAACCGAAATGACAATAGATCTGGAAAAAGACACTTGTGATTGGTTATGTGATTGTGTAGGAGCATTCCCCCAGCTTTGTGAAAATGTTCTACAGTTCCTATATGTCTGACTTGGTGTTCAAGAGAAGAGGGTAAAAATAGTCTGATAAAAATGATCTTATTATAAATTATTATTCTATGAAGTAATTGGAGACATTGTTACAGACAATGATTACTTTGTGATTCCATCTAGAGAAACTATACTTAAGGACTGTCAGCCCATTTGATTGGACTGCATTTATTCTGGTTCTTGGAAACCACTCAGTGTAGAGGCTGTTTTAAGTCCAGAGGAAGGCAGGCAGACATGTGCCTCACTAGCCACAGAAACATTCCAACCACCTTTTTATTTTGGAGTAGACTGTCCGAATTGACATGGCTCCACTGATGCAAAGTTTCAGGGAGATTTGAGAAAGTGCCAGTTCCTGTCCCTCCATTCCAGTGGGGCTGGGCTTATATCCACTGAAGATGTGGTGATTTGCCTTTAAACAAGCATGAAGCATTATGTCCTGGAGATAGCTCCCTTTCACTTTGGGCCTTTCAAAAAACTGCATCCAAAGCCCTCAAAACAAAAGAAAACAAAAGGGTTGAAGAAAAATGACTGAATTGAGCGATATTAGAGATAGACACAGTGATAAAAAAAACCAAAAACAAACAACAAACCAACCTTCAAAAGGGCTTGAGTGGAATTCAAGATGAATACATTAATTAAGATATAGTTAATACAGTAATCTAAAATTTCTTGAAGACTTACTGAGTTTGGAGCCACTAAAGCTGCACTAAGCACAGGAGACATAGTCAGAATCAGAACTGACACATAGCTTAAAATCATTTCAATTATCTGTTTCACATTAGCCAGAAAACCAGCAAACAGTCAATGGGATATAAGAATCATAATCAGGCAACATCAGTGGGCAAGAGACAAAGGCTAGGTCATACAGTATACTAAAAAGAAGAGCTTGACCTTTGGAATTGAAATATAGGCATTTTAAGCTCCAGTGGAATGTATCAGAATGGCCTTTTTCGACTTAAATGCATAAAAGGTCAAGGGAAGGTCATATTTGGCTTTGGGTTCATCCGCACAGAGCATATCCCAGCCCTTTCTTTATTCATTCTCACTTAAAAAAAGGGTTTTCAAACCTCTCAGGCATAGCATAAATATTCATTCTCCAGGGCCAGATTTTCAGTCGGTGTAAAACAGGATAACTGCATTGAAATTAGGAAACTCTGCCAACTTACACCATCTCAGAATCTGGCCATCCTGTTCACATGCTTCTAAGATACAGAAATGGCAATTTTGAAACTTTTCCTGGAGCAAATGTTTCCAACAATAACGATGCATGTTGAAATTTGAGACTTTGACATTTAAATTGTCTGGGGTTTTCTCTGAAAGGCATGGCAGGAGGTATCCTCTAGAAGAGCCAAGTAGAGAGTAAATACTACAACAATCTAGTTTACTGCTTCTCTATGTGCTCACCCTTCAGTAGCAGTTTTATGTCTTTTTCAATATTCCCACAATTCCTTTTAGACATGAAAGAACGTTTCTGTTCCCTTACAAATTGCTTTGAAAATGGAAAAAGACAAAAAGTAAAAGGGCCACTCACAAATGACATTGCCACATTAACACTGTGAGGAGAGACCCAAGAGGCTCCAATAGAACCATGAATCCACAATAGGCACCATTTTGATGCTCATACCCAACCAATTAATTACATAGAAATCAGATGAATATAGGGTGATCATCCTAAGTCAAATGAGTGGCCATCTTAATGAAACAAGTATCCCCACAGCTACTTAATGTGAGTGGCAGTTAGTCTCCTTTCTGAGGGAAAGGGTGAAATAAAGTCTACCACCACTCAGTGGCTATTTCCAAAGGATCACAATTGTTTGCCTTACTGCCTGAGCCCAGGTGTTTCATATCCTACTTTCTTAGTGCTCTAAGGTAATTTCTAAGATACTGGTAAGGAAAAGGTGCCTCTCTTTTTTAGAATAGAGAATCCATTTGAAGAAATAAAATAATATCAAACTTTTTCTGCCCTGGATAACTATTTTTATCCCAGAATGGAGAATAAATAGGTGTTTTTCTTTCTTTTTGTTTTCTTCTGAAGAGTTTCAGATGACGCTATTCAACAATTTCCAGAGACTTAGGAAAAACACAGCTCACCCCAGGTGGCATTGGTTTTCATGTGGTATTTCTTTGTCTCTATCCAATTTTACTTCTGTCCCTCAGCATGTAGGACAATCAACACAAACCAGTCAATATTTCTCCATATTGAGAGTCAGTTCCAAGGAAGAGAATCTCACCTTATTTTTTATTTTATTTGTCTGTAATATGCCTATCCTTAAACGAACATTTTAGAGACAGATTCCAAATTATGCATTCATTGGAAAGATTAACTCTGATTAAGAAATTCATGCTAAACAACTGTGTTTAATTGGATTTTTGTAAGTAGCTAAATGTGAATGCTTCTCAGTTCTTCTGTGTGGAAAACAAAACAAAAAGTAATTTTAAAATATTTAACGAGGAACAAACTCTGTGCTGCTGACCTATCTTCACTGGTGCTGTACCCTTCTTCCCTACATTCCCTTGCATGCAAAGTTCCCCTAATCTAGTCCTAATAATGGTTAAAGTTATCTGTCTAATCAAACTAATTAGCACTGGTGAACAGAGACATAATCATAATAGAAAGCAAATGCCAGTTTTACAAAATGAAAACGCCATATGTGCAGTAATTAGTGAACCACAGGCACTTTTATAAATCATATTTATTAGTTCGTAAACAAATCAAATCCTAAATGAAATGAAAGTTACCATTAGCAAACACCAATGAATAAACAGATACACTGACTAGCCCTGCTGGGTGCATTGTGCAAGGAGTTGTGAAAGTGTACCCCCCTCTTCTGAAAGTTCCCTGAGAGGTGCTCAAGGCTTTTTGCAGAGTGTCATTCTTTAAGTCACAGCATGGATGTATTAGCTGATCCAGGGAAGTTGCAGTGTGATCATATGGGCTGTTCTTGTCTGGAGACCAGATGGTCATAAATTAGGATATTCAGGTTACACCCATGATGAAAAATGTAGTACTAATAAGTACGCTAAAAGTGTTCTACAGCAGACCAGGTTTCACCAGAAATTTAATGTGGATTTTGTCACCTTGCATAAATGATGATCGACAATGAAATATATTTAATGGCAATCCCCCCCACCATACCTCCAAAAATGCCAAAACACATGAACCTCTGCTTGGCTTTAAAAACCAAATCTTCTTCCTTCTGGAAGTGGTGGTTAGGTCATTCCTTAAAGGTGATTATAAGAAAAGACAAAAAAGGATTTGCAATGAGGACATTTTTGCAGGTTATAAATTCTCTTAAAATCGAGCTTAAAGGAGTTTCAGTTACACATTGATCACTTCTTTCTCACTGAGAAGCTCAGTATCTGGCTGATAAAAACTAGCCAGCAGAGGCACACTTTCAGCTGCCTTTGGACTGAACCTACAAAAGGCTATTTTACACCCCAGACACACAGCTTAAATATATAGTATTGGAGAGCCACACAGCCTAAATATGTAATATTGGAAGCTCAGACTGAAAAATCTGACTCAAAACTCACAGGAAGACTTAGTTAAAATTAAGAAGGTTTCTAATAAATAGCACATATCATTACCTTTCTGATCACAGTTTTCATGGCTTTCCTCTCCCACAGGAAATACTGGCAGCAGAAAAATGGTGAACAGATATATTTTTGGAGGGGCAAAACCTACTTTATTCCTGTAGCTGTTAAAATAGTCTATAGGCTGAGACCTTGTCTTTACATAAACTGCTCTTGTATTTAATATATGATGGCTATTTCCAAGCTTTGTGTAGAGACCAGCTTCCCTGTCTATAGTTTTGCTTAAAACACTGCAGAACTCGGTCTTT